AACAGAGATTCCCTACCCTATCATAAAGGTTCCCTAAACAGCTTCCAAGCTGAACAGGAACCATATGTTTTGTAACACATGCAAAGCAAGGTGCTGTCTGCCAAACAAAACCAGAAAATATATTTACCAGCATTGGATCCTGTGAGGTTATAGCGTGCATTTAGTTTTTTTATGATGCTTTCATGAATCTGAAACCAGTCACTCTCTGTGTTACACCTGTAAAAGAAGTAACATTGTAAAAGCTACAAAGAACAAACGTTTCCCATTGCCAGTTCAGAGGATTTCTCACCAAATAAGAAATACATGCAAGCATTGTTTCTACCTGTAATATGTGAATATCTACTGGCACCTGAAGTTTCATGAGAATGAATTTAAGACATGCTGCTCAGAGGTTAATGGTGTATCAACTGGAAAAGTAAAAATGTGAATGATCCAGTCAGCTCCAGATTTAAGGATACCCTGAGCAAACCTGCCCTCTGCAGTAGTTATTCAAATAGTTACTTTCAGCAATAACTTTAATCCATTCATCTATCATCATTTTACCGGATTTATCAACTGAGACAGCAGCACAAGTTCTATCGTCTGTTTATATAATAATATAAATATGTATCATGCATGCAATGTAAAACCTTGAGACAGTATTGTTTCATAACATTGTGTGCAATTCTAATTGGTAAATGAGTTACTGCTGCTATTAGGCAAGTTTGCACATGAGAGCTCAGTCCTATATCAACTGTTACTGCCAGTGGGATATGAACCTAGATTAAGTGAATCTATCAGTAAGTCTGAGATGTTTTAATTTGGATTTTTGCAATGATCAGAAGGTTGGACTATGCCGCTTGACGTAGTCCCTTCCAACTTCATGATTCTAGATCCTATTCTCTGCTTTAAAGAAAAGCTTAAAATATATTCTCAATAGAAAATACAGTTGGCAAATAAAACTTGTCCACTGGTGATACATTCAGCAGGGAACACTTCCAATTGAATTTTAACAAAAATAAAAATAATCCATTACACTACTAGCCCATTACATTGTTGTAAAGTCTTCTCAAATCCATTGCTTCCTACAGGTTTAAGTCAGGATCCTGAGGACCACAGCTGGAGAAAAGTTGCCCTTGAGACACATAATGATTTCTAATCCAAATACTAACTTTAAAAATAACAAACATTTCCAGAACATGGCTAACAAATAAAAGTCATAGAATAAGATCTCAATTTTTCCCTCATTTAGGCTATCCCAAAACACAAACTTTCATATTACTACAATTTTTACCTCAAAAACCATTTTGAAAAAGATAAACTACCTGGAAGAGATTTGTGTTGAATGCAAGGATGAAGATGTCTATTGTTTTTTCTGTACTTTTTAAATAAATTTTAATATAGTCATATGATTAATCAATACAGTTTATTGTATTGTAGCAAATTTGCAAAGAATGGCCTAGAACAGGGGTGTCAAACTCAATTTTATTGAGGGCCGCATCTGCATTGTGGTTGCCCTCGGGGGGTGTGTGGCCGGGCTGGGTGTGGCCTACTGGGTGGGTGTAGCTGGGCTGGGAGTGGTCTACGGGGTGGGCATGGCCAGCTCGACATCACTTGCTTCAGGGGTGCCTGGGCAGGACTGGGGCAGATCTGAGGGTCTCTGGCAGAGGAGGGTGGGACCGGGGCGAGCGCCAGGACATGGTCCCTCCCACCCACCCTCCCTTCCTTCCTGTTCCTTTCTTCCTCTCTCCCTCCCACCCTCCGTTCCTTCCTCCCTCTGTTCTTTCCTTCCT